GATCCGGGGACAACAGGGCAGACCCTACAGTAAGAGACTGTGGGACCTGAACCTGTTCAGCCTTCACAAGAGAAGGCTGAGGGGGGACCTGGTGACCATCTATAAACTCATTAGGGGGGCCCAGAAGGGTTTGGGAGAGACCTTGTTTCCCCTAGCGCCCCCTGGCATAACAAGGAACCACAAGTTGTTGGAGAGTAGGTTTAGATTAGACATATATAAGAACTACTTCACAGTTAGGGTGGCTAGGATCTGGAACCAACTTCCAAGGGAAGTGATGTTGGCTCCTACCCTGGGGGTCTTTAAGAAGAGCCTTGATGCCTACCTGGCTGGAGTCATTTGAGCCCAGTTTTTCTCCTGCCCAGGCAGGAGGTCGGACTTGAAGATCTACAAGGTCCCTTCCAACCCTACCTCTATGATATGATTCGGAGATACAGCCACCAAATCAGGTTGAATCTCCACCAAATTGAATCAGGGACTGAAGCATTGCACAGCCCTAGAACACAGTATGTGTTGGCGTGAAATGCATGGGAGTTTGCAATACTGCATTGGAAATACTGGCAGATTGTGAAGAATGGAAGGTATCTGTGTTGTTGTTATCTATCTTGCATGCACCCTGGTTCATATGACTGTTATGTTGCTGGCTGGACAGTTCACAAAATTTGTAAGAACAGAAGACTGCAAACAGATGTTAGGGTGAAAATAATGTGGATTTTTGGGGAGCACTGGATCTGCAGCTGGAACAAGACTTTTAATCTGTGTCTCACCAAAGCTGCTGGTCACAAGGCAGAATGATATATTAAGCTAACCTTGCAAATGCTTAAGCAAGTAGTTTCTTTAACAATGGAATAGTGTGTAGGATACATGATTCCTTGTGTAAAAAGAACAAGATGCAGCCCACCTGCTATTGTCAGGAGATAAAGCAGAAAGACGATCTTGGAGATGGTGCTGAAATCAGCAAAGAACAAGAAAGAACCAGCAAGTGACCAATAGTACCCACGTTCATGGCCTTACGCATGTACGTGCTCTTAGCAGAGAGGCATGAAACACAAGACAAAATTGCCCTAAGTAGATGAAAACATGAAGCCTTTGTTCAAGGAAGAGGAAGAGGCAGCAGGGAAACAGACAGAACCCCAGTCCCTATCTCTGAGGTACATGGCGTGAGTTTAGCTTGCCTCAAATCCAAGGGAAATACTAAACTTTAACTACAACCTTCCTTGCATGTCGATTGTCCATGCATGCGTGCAATGGGTGACAAATGGCAGATTACAGAAGGGACAGGTAGCACAATGGCAGATAGGGTAGGAATCAGAAAGCAGAGTATCAGATCAAGCAGGAATGACTGGGCAGGGAGCAGAAAGCAGAGCAGCAGCTTGGTCAGGGAGCACAGGGTAGGGTGTGGAAGCTGAGCAGTAGATCAGGTAAAGGAAAGGAATCAGAGTTGCACTCAGAGAGGACAACAGGCTAATCTGTGGCACATCTGCCAAAAAGGCTGCCCTCCTCCCACTCATTCAATGAGACCTATGCCTTCATTGTGACAATCTTAAGACATTCGTTCCTGTTCCCCATACTGAAAAGATGTCACACAGCCATCACCAGAGAGGCATGCACATACATGAACGAGAAATCCTAACAGCATGCCTAAGCACATCAAAAATCAACTGCATAACTGTTCAGCCACTGGTGAGGATACAGTAAGGACTGGGCTGATAAGCAGGATGGACCGATTTCTCAGCAACTTGTAGTTACTACAGAAGTGGTCCAAATGGACCCTGCCTGTTTTAATCCGTTTCTTCCTCATCATTATGTTTTCGTGGACTAATCAATACTGATTTGTTTTGTGGAAGCTGTTCTGAGTCACTGAGTTTATCTACTGGTCACAGCTCCCACAGGGAGCACTCTTGCAAACCCAGTTGGATCTGCTGAGTAAGAAAGAGCTGGTAAAGAGGAGTGATGTAACCTGACCACTCAGTTTTGACTGCAACAAGAACAAAAATTCATAAAATGAAAGAAGTAATGCAAAAGTATGGGTCTCAGTCTTTCATTTACCTGGTGGATGATCATATCTGTGAGGAAGATTCGCAACCAAAGCCAGGTATCTGTCTTCCAGGACAAACAAATTCTGGTGAATTCTGCACAAGTAATCAGAAAATAGGTTTAAAGTTGGCCAAAAAACCCACCAAACCCTGCCCCCTACACCTCTCCAAACTCTTTGTCTTAGGCTATTTAGAAACAATAAAAGATTGCGGGGGGAAAAAACTCAGCACGAGCCATTTTATAGCAGATCCTTTCTAGTCCACCTTCTCTACATTTATTTTATTGCTCTTCAGAACAACAATATCAACTCAACACTACTGATTAATGTTTGGTTCCCCCCATGACATACTGAAGATTAATAAAAACTGCAAACTTCTAAATGAGAAGCAAAAATGAGAAGAGGAAGAGAAGAAACAAATTATCTTCATAGTCACAAATTGCTGAGGAAATTATAATGCATGGAAAACTTTGGCAATACATCCCCACATGGTTATTACCATACTTGCCTGAATCTAAGATGACTTAGAATTTCTTGTGTATAAAATCTAAATTACTAGAGGGTTGTCTTAAATTTAAAGTGTTATACTTTACCATGTACAGAAGCCAATTAGTGAAAGGCTCATCTTAAAATTAGCCCCTGCCACAGCAGCAGCAGGGGGTGAGAAGCCAGACCCCTGGCCCTTGCTTCCCTGCCCTTGTCCACCCTGGCTGCCCACTCCATGTCTGTGCCTGCCTCCCCTGCTTCCTGTCCCCCTACCCACTGTAGCCTCTCCCCCTGCCCCCAGGTAGTGGTGGCCCTGACTTTGCCAGGAAGAAGCGGCAGCAGGTCCCAGTAGGACTGGTCTAGGTCAGGTCTGGAAGGGGCAACTTGGGGGAGTTTGGCTGTGTCATCTCATCTGTGCCCCTCCCCTCCCAAATTTCATACATTGGTCTTCCCTGTTTCTGCACCAACCCCCTACCCCACCCTCAAAACCTCATGTCTCTTCCCTTGCCAAACTAGCCATCCCAGCCTAGGGGAGTGATGGCTCAGCTCCAACTTCCAGCCCCGTGCCTGGGGCCAGAGCTGAGCCATCACCACCAGTACTCAAATACAAGACAAGGCCCCTCTCCTCCCCGAAATACCAACCAGGAAACAAAAGCTTATCTTGGATTCAAGTAATTATCGTAGCACACAACTATATGGTACCCTCGTAAAACCTACTTTTAAGGAAAGCTAGATGAATGAATGCAGAAGTATGGAGGATTCCATGAACAACAAATGGAAAAATACATTCCCAGACAAGAACAGGACAAAGGAGACTTTGTCAGTTATTTCATACCATTAAGGCCCCCAGAATAAAAGAGAATGTTAAAAAAAGTGCATGAAAAGTTTTACTGCTGACAATTCTTGTCTACAGTAGAGTAAAGGCAGAACTGCCTTCAATTAGTCCTACCTTTATCAAGTGATTCCATGGAATAGAGCAACTCCCAGCTCTCTCTTGCCAGTTTAAAGCTCTCTAATACTTCAATGGAGTTTGGAAGGTCCGCTTTATTTATTGTGATATGGCGACTTCTCCCCTTCCCAGAAGGGTCTTCATCATCCGAGCTCTGCTTAAGGATCAGTATAAGCAAAAAAAAAGATTTCCTGTCTTTAACTGAAAATGTTCAAAGAATCTTATAGAACTTTTGCAATACTGAATACAAGCTCCAAGAAATACATCCGAATGGGTTATATCAACTATGAAGACAACAAATGGCATAACATCATAAATAATAGGGCTGTGCAAAGCTTCAGTAGCTGATTTGATTAGGAGGAGATCTGACCCAATTTGGGGACTGAATCTCTGAATCTGAATTGAATCAGGGGATCAAGTAAAAGCTCTGAATCTATTCAAAGAATCTGAATTGATTCAGGAAAATATTCGGCCGATTTGGAGATTCAGCCATAGACTAAACAGGCAGCTGATAGCTGCCTCCAGCTGGTAAGTCTGTTGGGGTTGGGGGAGGGAAGAAGGGATTGGAATTGGGGCTGGGACAAGCTGCCCAGCTGGGGCAGGGGGCTCAGTAGTGCTGGGAGCAGGGGCTCTACCCTGCTGCCGCTTGCCCAGCCGGAGCAGAGGCAGGGAGCGTGATGGGGGCACGACTCACTCCAGGCGGAAGGGGGCAAGTGGCAGCAGGACACAGCCCCACTCCCAGTGCTGCCGTGCCCGCATCCCACACCCTTCCATGCTGAATGGCAAGCGGCAGCAGGGCACACTTACCAGGAGAGCTGCGGGAGAAGCCCCCATGGCTGCCCTGCCTGGCCCCATCCCCTGCCCAGCCCAGATCCCGGCACTTACAAAAAAGCCCCATCCTCAATAGCTAGGGTGGCTCCACGTGTCAGCCAGAGGCCAGCAGCACTCAGCCCCAGCGGCCCCAGCTCCCAGAAAGTGTGTGGAACCCTGCCAAGCCATGCTGCACCTGCACGATGCAAGAGCTCCCACGTGGGGGGGAGGCAATCCCCGCTGCCCCCCACTGTGCAGGTGGTCTCTGCTACAAGTGCCCAGAGGCCCCGGTCGCCACTCCTGCAAACAATGAATATGGGGCTTTTTTTTTTTTTTTTTTTTTAAAGCTCCACAGTCATCGGCTGCAGGAGCGGTGAGTGGGACCTCTAGGTCCTTGTGGCAGAGCCCCCCTGCACAGCGCAGGGCAGCAGGGGACAGGGCTTCACCCCCTCGCCTGGCACCCATGTGGCAGCTGTCACATTGCGCGGGTGCAGCGCAGCTTGGCATGGCACCGCGCACTGTCTGGGAGCTGGGGCAGCTCCAGCAGTCAGACAGTCAGCAGTCAGACAGTCAGCAGTCAGACAGAGCCCAGCAATGCTCAGCCCCAGTGACCCCAGCTTCCAGACAGTATGCGGTGCCTTGACTAGCCACGTTGCACGTTGCCATGGGGCAGCTACCATGCTGGTGCCAGGTGGGGGGGGCGATTGTCGCTGCCCCCCACTGCCCTGCGCAGGAGGGGCTCTGACATGAGCGCCCAGAGCCAGAATCGCCGCTGCTGAGTGCGGGGCCTTTTTTTTTTTTTTTTTTAGTGCCAAGACTAGCCTGGGGCCAGTGGGTTAGGGGGAGATATAGGGTCAGGCAGGGCAGCCATGGGGGCTTCTCCCATGGCTCCCTCTGCCTGGGGAGAGGCAGGCACAGCTGGACTGGAGGAGCCATGGGAGAACCTGCAGCTGCCCAGCTGTGCCTGCCTCTCCCCAGCCTATCTGAATCACCGAATCTCTCCAAATCATTCAAAGCTGATTTGGCTGAATTGATTCAGAACAGTGATCTGAATCGAATCACTGTCCTCTGAATCGGCTGAATCCTAATCAAATACTTCCCTATTCGCACAGACCTAATAAATACTGTTTCTTTTCAAATGAAGTTTAAACAGCCATTTATGTGCAACCCCTTGCTCAAGGGGTTGGACTAGGTTAGGCGTGGCCAACCACGGCACACACCACAAGTGGCACAGGCAATTTGTGCATGTGGCACACTGTGGAGGGGGCAGGTAGTACAATGGCAGATAGGGCAGGGAGCAGAAAGCAAAGCAGTAGATTGGGCAGGGAGCACAGAGCAGGGAGCAGAAAGCAGAGCAGCTGACTGGACAGGGGAAGGGGATCAGAGTGGCACTCAGAGAGGGCATGGGGCTAATTTGCAGCATGCCTGTCAAAATGGTTGGGCCCATACTGGACTAGAGCAGTGGCTCTCAAACTTTTGCATCTTACGTTCCACCTGTAAGGTCAAAGAATCCTGGTCCCACCAGTCAACAAGCGGGGAGGCAGACCCCCAGAGGTGGGCAGGACCCCCAGCGGCTGATCGAAGTGTGCAAAAGTGAAACTAGAAGTTCCGTCGTGGCACTTCCAGTTTTGCTTCTGCGACCCGAGTCCCACTTAGATGACCTTCCAGTTGAGAAACCCTGAACTAAAGCAGCTTCTGGGGCCCCTTCCAGCCTTTTTTTCCCCGTGATTCTAAATAAGTCATTCAGTTACCCTTTGGCCACACCGGGGTATTGGCGCCCAGATTACACTGGTTTAAGTTGTTCTTGAAGGAAGCATATTGTAAACTAGGACTCCCACCCACTTGTCATTCCTCCCATCATTTTGGCTGTATTAGCAGTCAGGGTCTTCAGGCTTCCCCATCCTCCTTCAGCTTCCACTTCCACCCTCCCTGCCTCAGGGAGTGGTTTGGTGTGGCACAGCACAGCCCACAGTGCTAGGGGAGCCTGCAACTTGGGGTGCCCACATGGCATGTTGCAGCATGGGAGCCTGTGGCTTAGGAGTTGTGGGTAAGATCAGGACACCTGCAAACATGGCAAGGTGAGAAAGCCTGAAATTGGGGAGTTGAAGGTAGGAGCTGGGCTGCCTGCATGACAAGAGCAGTACAACACAAGTGCCAACAGCTTGTGCTGGTTTGGCCTGTATAGCTTGTGGCCCCCACAACGTGCCCCCAGCTGCTCAGAAGATACACAGTCCAGTTGTAAACCAAATCTCAGCCAACCTAAATGTATAAAAGCATATTTCACATCAGATAATTCTTGTAAAAATCTTTTTATTGAACAAAAATGCAATTTTGTAATGAAGTATTTTTTACTCGTTGAGAAGATGTAGAAGACTCATATAACCCTCCTTACTAAAATACAGTGCAACTGCACTTTACCCAAAGAATTCCTGACTGAAAATATAGCAAGGGGGGAAAAATCCACTATAATATTCTGCTCAGCTTTTTAAGATTTAAAGTAAATCACATAATACACAAAGCACTTGCAGAATTGCAAAAAAAACCCCAAATAGTTTTGCTCTGCTGCTTCTAAACCAAATCTATTTGCATGTTTAATCATAAACAGAATTGGCTATGTTCCAATGCCCAAGCTATCAAGAGCAGAATAGCATAAAGGAATTACCATTGTTTTTTCTCTTCCTTCTGCAAGCTTCCTTTTTTTATGTATGTGCTTGTTGCGCTCGATATCTGTATCACCATAGACATTAGATACATCCTCAAGGAGAACCAGCGGAACTTGGTTCGGAGCATTTGGCCCTAGGTTTGACAAATAAATTAAAGGTTGCCTGAAACCGAACTCATTAACCAAGTGCCCAATTCAAGAGATTTTCATTCAAAAGAGGAGAAACACATGCAAAAATTTAAAACACTGTGCAAGTATTTAAAACACTGTGCAAGTATTTAAAACACAATGGCAATGATGCAGCTGTCTCTGAAAGTAACCTAATGATAGAGATCATGTAGCCTTTGCTGTATGACATCAGGGTTAGTTCCAATCTGTCAGAAAAATCTTAGAATCCCTTTCCAAAGGGGCAGTCACAAGATGCATTGAAGTAGCATGTACTTTGTCTCCAAGCATCATTTACTTGCAACTAAAAGCAATCATTAAATAACTCAAGTCATTTGTTCCATTTGGCTAACTGCCCTAAAGGCAGCAACCAAAGAAAAATTCCCAAGGTGCTCTTTATGGGAAATCCAAGCAAAGCCCTGACAGACAGTGAGGCCTCAAAGAAGAAATGAGGTCATTATATCATGAGATTTCCATACTCAAGTAACTCATTTATGGTCTGACCCTTACTTCAGCTGTGTGGGATTAAGCTTTTTATGTGGCTGCCAAACCCCAACACCCTTCCCCATTGCTAGGCCCCTACAGAAGTCTAGTTTTGTGGCTAAAACAAAGGACCGGGGGTCCAAAGATCTGGTTTCTACTCCCAACTGTGCCATAGACTTCCTGTGCAATCTTGGGAAAGCACATATTCCTCAGCTGTAAAATGGAGATGATACTTCCCCATCTTTATATGCAATCGGATGCCGCTAGTATTTGAGAGAAGGTGCTTTTCTTTCAGATTACAGTAAAAATAAGGGTTTGCATGACTGCAGAAAAAGGGTGAGAGGGTGGGAAAATGATTTTCCCATTTCAAAACCTCTATCAGCCAAGGAAGGAGGTAGTATCACTGGGCAAACAAACTGAATGAACCCACTAAAAATATTTATATTTGCAGAAAACTCTGAGCACACTTAGGGCCCCATTTATAACGAGATCATGGAGTTACTGCATAATTGTACTCCAAAATCTAAACTGCTGTTATTTTAGGTGAGTTTCTAGCCCTTACTGCTGTAAATAAAGCTTAGTGTCAGCCACAGCAGTGACTCTTGCCCAAGTCTGCAGACAGCCTGAAAGCAATGAGAGAAGTGTGAATTGCCTCATTCATCACACAATCTGCTACCTGACTACGTGAAATTACTTACAACTAATTCTTGATCTCTGAAGGGCTACAGTCCCTCTTGACTCCATGCACCATGTAAGAACTCTCACTGATGGAGGTTCAGAGCCGTTGGATCCAGTGGGAAGTTTCTTGTACCACCCCTGCTAAAATAAGTAGGCTTTTTCCTTTACTCCAGTAGTCAGATCCTGTCTGAAAAGGACAAGAAGCATCAATGGTGTGGCTGAGATCAGCACCACAGATGCATCAGAAGAGCTTATGTCACTCAGGAACTGACTCTGGAGTAAAGGATGCATGAGAGCCACATGCAGAAACAAGGGCTTGCATGAATGCAGTCCCTCAGGAGTTGCTTCCCCAATTTTCATCAGACAGGATGCAAGTGTACAATAGAATCAACAGTGTTTGCAAGGAGTAGCATGCTATGTCTTTTTTTGGATCTAACAGGCTCCAAATGGTAAAAGCTATAGCGTTCATATGAGGCCCACATAGGGCACACAGACCAAAGAGGCAGAATGCACTGCAACAATAATGTCCATGACACATTAGCCCTATTTTACAGGTTGAGAAACCAGAGCCTAGAGAGAGTAAATTACTTGGCTGAACTTGTAGGATGTGCTGGACTATATCAGATGAACAATCTCTCTATCCTAATATAACATCCCAGCCAGTGGACAGTGTCAAATACTTCAGAGGAAGGTATCAGATACCTGTAAGACATGTTTCTTTACTAATGTGCCCAAGTGGGATGTTTCTTTTTTTACCCCAGCTAAGTTGGACTATGTCCTAATGCATGATGTTTCATATTCCTTACATATTTTTAGCTCAACTTAGTATAGCTGCAGGCATTATTCATTAAAATCTCTCGCCCCCTCTTGAACCCCAATGAGCTCCACCCCAGAATATCCCAAGGAACTTGCATTGTGCCACTCCATTCTGTCTCATACTAGGCTGCAGTGGATTGACGCACCTTCTTCTGAAGCAGCTGGAACTGTCCACTGTTTGAGGTATTATAGTGGGTACCACCTCATCTCCTTCATGCAGGAAGTGACAGAGCTTGGCTTGCTCCTCTCTCCAGAAACCTTTCCTCTACACAGAAAGCTGCTCCTCAGCAATCTGCCCTGTGTCACCCTGCTCCACCTCATACTCTGATTTAAAACAGCTCCTGAGAGGCCCAGGTCCTACTATCAAGGTTTGTATGAGGCTGCCTACCTGGTAGCTGAGTACCTTTCATAGAAATGTCAATAAAATCTTGACTGGTGTTTTGATTGAGGCCATTATCTTTCATATTCTGAAATCAGATTTAAGTCCAGTGAGAAGAAAGCAGACAGCTATGGTGGGGTTAATGGACCGCTTCTCCTTCACAGTGGATAAAGATCTAGTCTCATTGCTCATACTCCTTGGGCTCTCTGCCTTCAACAGGGTTACTCACAAAATGCTTCTCATGTTTGTATAATATGGCTTAAATAAGTTATACAGCATTGCAATAACTCCAAATAGGATCTGGAAAGTTGCACTTGGCAATTGCTCCTCTTCCCCACAACCCCTTGCTTGCAGAATCCCCAGGTCTAATCTTAGTACCCTCTCCAGACTATCTGGATAAAGGCTGGATGCCCTGGGTCCTTGTTACTAACATCTGCAAGCATGCAAGTTGGGTTACAATACAGATATTGCACTGCTTGGGCAAGATCACCACTTTGATGCACAACTTTCCAAAATGAACCTAGAAAGACTGAAGTGATACTCAGGGTAGGAAGAAGGTTAAATTGGGTGGAGGCATAATGGAGGCCTCTCCTGATGAGACACATGATTGATTACTATGCTGCTTCAGTGGCTTGAGCTACTAAATGCACGTTACCCTTACTCTCTGCATCCATTTAATTTCTGATGCTAATGCAAAGACTTAGTTCTAATCTTCAAAGGCATCACTGAATAGCTCTGGGCACAGCTGCACAGGAGAGCACTCCTTTGACCAGGCACAAGGCACCAAGACCATTGCATTCCCCTAACCCATCGCTAACACAACTGAGGATGAAACTCAGTGAGAAACAAAGAGACAAACCACTTGCAAATGGAGACAAGGGACTGGTGTTTGCAGAGTAATCAGTTGCCCGTTTGGAAGTTTCCCAATCACAAGAGAAATACGAATGTATAAAACAAGAAAGCAAGAAACAGTATCTTAGGACCTTAGACAACAGGATCAGAACTTTTTAGATCCACTACCAAACACAGCATATAGAATTTAACTGTTCAGCACTCGGATACCATACTGATGGTAGGCAGAGAGGAATCTCAGAATCTGTTATGACAATGAGATCCACAGGTTAATAACGAACTGGGTAAAATAAGTTCATAGTTTTAAGTCTGTTGCCTTTAATGCTCTTGGAAGTTTACTTGCTCTGCATAAAACAGGGTGAAAAGGATTCAACCAATTGATTTTCTGCAAACCATTATAAAAATGATCCTGCCTTGAGCAGGGGTTGAACTCAGACAACCTCCTGAGGGCCCATTGGCTACTTTCTAACAGTAAGCAAGCCCAAAGAGAAAATGGATATTCAATCTCTGCAGGTTAGTCCAAGCTGCAGATTGAACTGATAAGCAAGTGAAAAAACATTCACTTCTGATTCCAGAAACGTGGCCACATGTCTGCAGTAGTACAGGCCAGAAGTCAGGGGGTGCTACAGCACGCCTTCCTGCTTGGCAAATAGCTTAGGCCAAAGCCCATTCTATGAGTGGGGACTTGCAGGGGAGGTGCAAAGCATCCTCAGATGCTAGGGGCCTGTGAATTAATTTGAATCTGGAGGGGATCTGGGACAGAGGTTCAATAAACCAATTTAACTTAAATCAGAACCAGTTTCTGATCACTTATATCAGTTTATGTGCAACTTCTGTCCCTAGCCTTTTAGCTCTATGATTACATCATGTTACAGACGTCTATCATGGTATATTTTCATTTGGACCAGGTACACACATTTACATTTTTACTGATATAAGTAATCAGAAACTGGTCACCA